AATTGGTTCAACGCAATGGTTATTATTCTTGGTGTTGGCACCGTATCAACTTGCTACTACCCATGCCTCACAATTTTACCATTGCGGGCACGAAGGGGGGTCACTGCACCTGAACGAGAGTTTGTGATCGCTACAGTTGGGGGCTCACATTTTATCTGTATTGACCTTGCACCAAATTCACCTCTTCCCCCGATTGCAGGTTGGTGGACCGAGAACCACGAGCCAAGTGTTGACGGTTGGGATCAGCGTTATGCAACTAGAAGGAACATGTGGGATGCGTTAATTAGATAATGAACGCATTTATGTACATTAATTTATTGTGAACAGCTGTAGATATGTAAAATGTAAATAAAAATTTTGAATTAAACAAAGTTTCAACTAAAACCACACAAAAACAATATTCCAATTCTTAAAATACATGCCGAATGTAGAGCAAATAAACGAAATGCGTACAACTAAAAAAAACTAATAAACAGGGAATTCACAACCCCATCATCGCCCTCCAATCAGCTCGTAGTGCCTCAACCATTGCTCTTGTATCACGCGACAAGCTCGGATATTACTTTAGTGTCCTGTTGATAACCTCCATGGACCGACCCATCCACTACAATTAAAAAAAACAACATATTAAACAAATTACAAGTATTTGTAGTGATAATTATAGTACCAAAAAACACAAGTACTTACGTAATCCATGTTAGTTCTCTCTGGCAGTGCGCGACTCCCATGTGATGACGCAACTGGAGAAACACGAGGATGAGAAAATCGGTACAACCACTGCATGTAACCAGGACCGACCGTAGGAGCACCACCACCAAGTCTGCTAAGGGGACCTAACACCACACTGAAAGACGCACCAAGGACAAACCGAGTCCACATCACAGATGTCATCTCTGGCAGAAAGTCTACTCGATACATCTTCAAGTTCGTCGGTCTCTTTGCCTTCTCAGGCCTGATGATGGCTTGTGGAATGCCCTGTACGTATCCAAGTTGTCGAACCACTCGATCAGGCATATATGGCTCAATGATGCTACGGTACTGGATGCAGCCGATAATAGAGTAGCAGGCACGCGTCGTGCTGGATCAACTCCGTACGGTAGCCAGTTAACCTCATTGTCAGTCAGATGATCCAATCTAGCACGAAAAGCAAGGAGGCGCTCCATGCTCTTGTTGGGGCACCCCGATCCGACATCCCAAACAGACGCACGAGGAACAGTAAGCTCTCTGGTCAAGGTCCCCTGCTGAGGCCGAAAACACAGAAAGTAATCGTAGATCCACGCCTGCAGAAGCGTAAGACAACAAGCGATAGAATCAGCATCTTTTCGTGATTCTGTACCCAACTGCCGATACATGCTAGCACAACAGAACCCTAGGAGTACTCACTAATCTGAACATCCTCAACAAAAAGCTCGTTGAGGAAGGAAAAAAGAGTACGGTTTCCACTCTTGTCCAAAAACAAACATCCGCCAAGTACTAACCACAAGTACGCCCTTTAATGGACATTGAAGGGCCTCCGCGCCTCCAAGGTCGACTCCATTATCCTCTCAGGCAGCACCCCACTACCCTGTCATACGGTTTTAGTACCGCACTTCTCATTCAGCTCTTCCGCAGTCATGTCCATGGTAATCAAGCACGCGTCCCGTAAAACGTCCGTGCTAGGAGTAGTGGAAACCATGGAACCATCAACACGAAGCCCTAGAATATGATACACATCATGCAACATGATCGTGATCTCCCCAAATGGCATGTGAAACGTGTTCGTGTTTGGCTGCGATCTCTCAACAAAAGCAGAAATCAAGGGCAAGTCAAATCGCTTGAACATGATCCCGAGTAAGTGAGATAGACCACTGCCATCAATCAGTTCCAGGTGCTCCTGCGCAAGACGACCTCGCCAGTTACCCAATTCAGAACACAACTGTGTCCTGCTCAAACACCACAGAACATTTCGCTCCTGCCCACCCCATATATATGCAGCCACGTGACTCTCAAAACTAGGAATAACAGTACCATCCTCAGGCCCACCTGGCATCGGCTCTTGTACTACCCATGTCTCTGATGAGCTGGTAGAAGGTTGAACTGGCTCACTACTACCAACAAATCCCCCATGCTGAGCCCTATACACAGTACGATAATCCTGAAGGTCGTACTCTGAATCTCGATCAGCATGACTAGCTCGCTCATCATCCTCATCGTCAGATGAAGGCACTCTACCCGACGAGTACATGGGGGCACTCCCATCTGACTGATGCTCCCCCGACCAAGTACCAGCAGACCCGTGCTGCTGCTCATGATGAAACGGTGCCTCCGAAGGTCCTGCACCACCTAACTCCCTCCTAACTGATGCATTCAAACGTCTTGATCTTGCATGTCGAGCACCCAAACCCTCAATCTGCATTAAATAAGTACAAAATCAGATTTCATTAATACTTACACACACAACTATGATATCAAAGTTGAATCACTAACATTCAAATTCAAAAATATCATTTCAAAACTATAATAAACCAAATCAAATAAACAATAATAACAACATTACCAAGGATCAATAATAACTAATAATAATTTGACAACAATAACAATAAACCAAATCAAAACAATAATAAACCACAAAATCGGCAACATTACAACACAACAACAACAACAACAACAACAATAATAACAATGGTAATAACAACAACAACAATAATAATTTCAATCAATTTTTTATAAAATTTTAATCACGAAAAAATTACATAACAACAATACATAACAATAACAACAAAAACAATATAATTATATTAGTCAAAAAAAAAATACATATCAATAATCACGAGGAAAAAAAATTCCAAAATTAATAAAAACCATAATACATAACAATTACACATAACAATAACAATAAAAACAATTAAAATTATATTACTCAAAAAAAATTACATATCAATAATCACGCGGAAACAAAAATTCCAAAATTAATAAAAAAAACATATACATAACAATAACAATAAAATAAAAAAAATTATATTACTCAAAAATAAAAAAAAAAACAAAAATATTAATCACGAAAAACATGAAAAAAAAAACAAATCGACAAACAAAAAAAAAATCGGAAAACCCAGACTTCCGCCTGAAAAATCCGAAAGTCTGGGGAAACTTCCGGAAATTTCAGGCGGAAGTACTTCCGGAAATTTCAGGCGGATGTGGTACTTCCGCCTGAAATTTCCGGAAGTTTCCCTAGACTTCTGGATTTTTCAAGCTGAAGTCTGGGTTTTCCGAATTTTTTTATTTTTTTTCAAAATCAGAAACAATTAAACAACAACCAACCTGCTCGTCGCCACTAACGCCGCCCCCGCAACCACCGTACGTCAGCCTTATGCGTCGCCGGTCCGCCATAGCCGGATTCAACCTTTGATTGGTGGTGTTCGTTGTTTTTTGTTTGATTTTCAAAATTTGGGGTTTTTTATGAAAAAAAAATTTCTGATTTTTTTTTTAATTTCTGACCTTTTTTTTAGAGTGAGAAAATTTTAGAGAGAGAGTGTGTAGGTTGTGAAATGACTTGTGAGTTTCGGAAGTGAGTTTCCCGAGTATTTATAACCGAGGGGCAAATTAGGAAATTCAAGTAAAAAATGCGAGCGTCACCTTGTAATTTGCAAACGACGTTTAACAACACCCAAGACAAGTGGTGTAATATTAAAAGAACGGAGGAAGTACGTGAGTTATTGTGATAGATTTTAGGAAGTTGAGATATTAAGGAATATTAGGATTAGATATTCTTATTGTTTATATATATTGTAATGTGGTCGAATATTGTGAATGGGAAAAATACAATGAGAACATTTTTCCCCAAAATTTAACAAGGTCGCATAAGTTTTATCCTAAAACCATATGACATTATAAATAACTACCTACATAATTTATAAAGTAATCACCTTTCTACCACTCTTATGTAGGCAATTATTCTTCACACAAATGTTATACACCCAACATGAACACATAAGTGTCAATCAAAAGATCCATAAAAAGGCCATGCATGTTAGGTTTAGCAATTGGTTGAAATTCTTCCTTGCATTATTAATTTGTCTATTTCAACATAAAATTGGTTGAAATTCAATCAAAACTAAAATTTAGCAAAGGACTTTTAATGTCTAGATTAAGAAATATGTGTGGCCAGGTATTATTAGACGGTTGGCATTGGAGGGCTCTTATTGCAACACAAGATCATGGAATAAATAGAGTAAGAGGTAGAAATGCAATGCAATCATATTTGAAAATGATGCTTATCATATATCATATCCATGGACCAGAGCATTTTGTTTATTACTCTATCTTTAAAGCATCAAATTGATAAGGTAAAAAGTTAGATGTGGATTGGGCCTAATCTATATGGATTGACTCCAATGGTTTGAAAGGGACTAGCATTAGCCTAGTTCATGGCACATTATCTTTTATACATTTACACTTTTATGCACGTATACATGTGTCAATCGTATGTTATAATACTCTTATCATTGTACATACAACTGGTTGTGAATTGAATGTGTGATGCGCGTGACTCGTAGAGTTAACATATTTTATTTTCCATAAATTTCTATACTTTATAATTATTTTATTAAGTATTTACATGTGACGAGTTAAATTCATATGATAGCGCACACTACATATGGTTGTGAGGTGAATGTGTGATAAGTGTGACTCATACATGTGTTAATTATATGTTATACATGTGTTAATTATATTTTATAATACTCTATTATTGTGCATACAACTGGTTGTGAGGTGAATGTGTGATAAGTGTGACTCATAGGGTTGACATGTTTTATTTCCACAAGTTTTTATACTTTTTAATAATTTAATGAAGTATTTACATGTAACGAACGAGCCAAGTTCATGCTTTCAATGACAGTTTGAGATGAATGAAGTAGTTGGATAAATGGAACAATGATGTTTAGCGACGGGGCGAGTTCTTGGCAAAATAATTCCTTAGCCCATCCACTCTTTACTAAAATCAACAAATAGTGACAATATGAGAAATCAGGTCAGGATGCAGCAGCTTCCATCTGAACTTGCTCCTCCAAATTTACTTGTTAGAATTGTTCCCCTGGTTAACTTGCCCAAAAAAGGGGGCTACCTAAAAAAACAACTAAATTTTCAACTTTATATAGAAAATTAAGGTTGAATGTCATAGCTCTCATTGTCTCACACCCATCCCCTAAAAAAAAAGAAACGAAAAAAAAGAGTTTTCTTACCCCATTTTACTCTACACACAACACACGTACTATTCTGTTACAATTTCTGTAAGCCCTCCAAAAGCAGGTCCAATATGACCCTGTGGACCACTGCAACACTCCTTCCTGAAGCTCTTGCAACATGCCCCAACCTCCCTCTTTCTCAAACTGCTACATGCGTGTTTGGCAACTGCGTTAGCATGGCCTGATCCATGTGACAAAACACGGTGATGGTGGTGATGATGATGTGTAACATGAACATCATGGGATTTTGAGCAATGTTCATGTTTCGAGTCCATATGTTTGCTGTGCAGCACATCAATAACAGAACTTGACTGTACAGGACTTATCTCTTTTGTGTCTAGGCATTTCAGTTTATTTGTCCCATCATTGACTTCACAACATGAACTCTTCTGTTCAGAATGATGATGTGCATGTACCCCCAAATGATGATGCTCTGCCGAATCCAAGTGATCATGTTTGATACATGAACTAGCCTGGCTTTCAAGCAAGTCAAGGCAATGATCGTCATCAGAACATACGTTCCCTTCACAACAACTTGAGCTATGTGGGTCGTTGGACTCACACTCTGATGCGCGTTCAGGAGAATGACAGTGTTTCTCATGTGTGTCATGAGCATCTGCTGAATGACAGTGTGTATCATGTGTATCATGAGCATCTGCAGAATGACAGTGTTTATCATGTGTGTCATGAACATCTGCATGACAATGCGGTTGATTAGTTGGTTGACAGCATTCAGATACATGTGCTCCGACAATTGGATCCACATAACTAACACTGGAATAGGATGTACTGCCGGTAGTCTGACATGCAGGCGCGCAACTCTCTGAACATTTAGCAGATTCACACGAGTCAGGATTAGTCGTCTGACAAGGATTAGCTAATTGACTCTGAGAAGAACATTTTGCAGGCCCACAAGACTTGGTGTCAGTCGGTTGACAAGGAATAGCCGAGTGACTCTGAGAAGAACATCTTACAGGACCACATGACTTAGTATTAGTTGTCTGACAAGGAGTAGCCGAGTGACTCTGAGAATAACATTTTGCTGGACCACATGCCTTGGTATTAATCGCCAGACAAGGAGTAGCCGAGTGACTCTGAGAAGAACATTTTGAGGACCCACATGACTTAGGTTTAGCTGTGTGACAAGGAGTAGCCGAGCAATGAGGCACTGCAGTTTTGGAGCAACATTGCTGACTTGTTTTAGAATGATGGAGTTCTGTCTTATGAGAATGACATGATGAGAACATCCCAAAGCATCGGCTACTGCCATGGGTATGACTTGACCCCCGTAGGAGAAGCATGCTGTTGAAGATCACAACCAAGCATGTCGCGACATCAGCTAGAACTGCCAGCCAGACGAGTGGGTGTCCTGCAATGGCAAAAGCAATGACTCCAGCCTTTGTAATGATAGAGATAAATATGTTTTCAATCACTTTTCTCCGGGTTTTTCTTGCTAGCTTAATAGCTTTCGGTATTTTCCTAATGTCATTTGACATGAGAACCACATGCCCTGTCTCTGTTGCCAGCGCTGAGCCTGAAACTCCCATTGAGATACCCACATCTGCAGTAGCTAATGCAGGAGCATCATTAACACCATCGCCAACCATAGCTGTGGGTCCGTCTTTCTTGTAGTCCTTTATGATTCTTGCCTTGTCCTCAGGCAGAAGGTCTGCATGAACTGCATCTAAAGTTTTTCCGAGCTGCAATAATCACAGAAACCTATAGTCAGAAAATTGTATTCATATCTTCACACTACAAAAGAAATACTCTTACAGTCCAGAATTGATATCACAGTTTCCTGTGATGCTTTGGTATGTCCCCTGTATAGTCATTTCCTTTAAATGAAATAGCTGGAGATTAAGATGAATTTTCCAAAGACAAAGCTGAAATTGAGGGATAAAGAAGCTGTAGATGGCACAACTACGATCAAGATTTCCGTAGAAGTAGTCCCTTTCAAAGCACTAGAGTAAATAGGCTAGAAAAGGCTAAACTTGGCAAAAGTATCTATAAAGGGTTTAAATCAATTACTATGAAAGTCAGGTCCAAAAATAAACCTGCTCTTGTGCACGCATCGCTGTAGACCGGGTATCTCCAGTGAGCAAAGCAGTCTTTATGCCCATTGATTTCAGCTCTCTGATTGCTTCAGCAGCTCCTGATCGACAGTCATCTGAGAGACTGAAAGTCCCAATAAGAACCCCTCCAGAGTACACATAACCACAAGTTCGCGCTTCCTTTATACTATCATCACCATGAACAATATTTGAAGCTAACATTTGATTATACAAAACAGATTTGAGTCAGAAAGTTCATTAAGAACTTTACAAAAACATGTATTAGAAACAATAATATATAGTAGCAGTTGCTTACCTACTGTACAGTTGGCCCTTCGGCCTAGCTTCTGGTTTCCAATGTATATTTCCCTTCCATCAATCTTCCCGAAAACCCCTTCTCCTGGAAAATTCTGAAAGTCTTCCACATTTTCAGGCTTCGGTTCAATGCCTTGAGGTCGCCCATAATCAGCAAGTACAGCTGCTATAGGATGGCTGGACTTGCTTTCGATACTTGACACCCTACAACAATCGATAATTTATCAAATTATATGGTGATAACTGTAAAGGATTACTAAAGTAATACACTATATTCTTTCATGCAAATACTGACAAACCATAGGAAGATGAGGGACAATAAATCCATGTCAAAGATCGGCAAAAACTATAAAACACCTACCAGTATACTAGAGTTGTCAGAGTAACATCATCAGCAAGTGAACGAAAGTCTTTCAAGGTGAATTCACCTCTTGTTATAGTTCCAGTCTTATCAAAGGCGATGTGTTTAATTTTGGCAAGAATTTCAAGGTAATCTCCCCCTTTTATCAGAAGCCCTGAAGTAGCTGCTCTTGAAAGTGCACAAAAAGTTGCAACTGGTGTCGAAAGGATAAGTCCACAAGGACATGCACTTACTAAAACTACCAGTGATAAGTAAAACCAATGCTTCTTGTCATGAAGTTTCATTGCAACAGGAACTACAGCTATACCAGCTGATATTAAAACAACAGCTGCAATGCATAGCCAAAAAAACACACTGAAATCATGCTCATTTAAATGTGAATTAGTCTGAAATAAAAGAACCTACCATTTTTTACCAATTTCACTCTTAATTCAGTTGTTTACAGTATGGTACTACAGTTATGTTCTTTTCAAATTATGGAAATTGGTTTCAGCGAAACTCCGATTTGATAATTAAAGTTAAATTTTGATTGCATAAATCAGTAAACACGTGTGACAAACACGCTGATGAATTAGAAGAAAAAAAAAACAGTTTTAAGCAGTACACATAAGTTCTGGTTAGTAAAATATCAATTTAATTCAGCAAAAATATGTTCAGTACAAGTTAAAATCAGCATATACGTATATAACCACAAAAAAAATAAAAAACAGGATTAACAAACCTGGTGTATAATATTTTGCACATCTATCAATTAGCCTCTGAACACTAGATTTATTGTTTTGAGCTTCTTCTACTAGCTTTGCCATTTTTGCGACTGCACAATCCTCGGCTAAGGCAGTTGTTTTTACGCTGACATAACCTATTATTTTAATATGAAATGTTATCAACAGAAAATATATGTACTCATAAATGTAATTAATTGCTTAATATAAAGTGAAGAGATCCTAGACTATAAGACTAGGGAGGAAACTTACCATTTACATTAACAGTTCCTGCCCAAACGGTAGAATCCTTTTGCTTGGGAACAGGATATGATTCCCCAGTTAAAGTCTTCTCATCTACTTCACAAGTTCCTTCCGCAACTACTCCATCGATTGGTATAAGTTCTCCCGACTTAACAGCCAGAACAGTACTCAGCTTAACATCTTTCACATTCACAACTTCTCCTGTTTCTGCTATAGTTGCTTGTTGAGGTGTCATGCTCAAAAGTGATGACATAACCGCGGTTGCCTGAGACACGCAAGGAGGGGAGGAAAAACACATTTATATTGAACTCAGCTCATAAGTGCATGAGGTTGATGTAGCATGTTCATACCAATATTTCATATGGAAATTTGTACCAAGAAAGCATAGCAATTGGAAGCATTTTTTTTTTTCACAAAATATATTTTTTTAAAAAGGAGCTTTTATGTAGAAAATTTAGCTCACATAGTCTTGTTATTGATGCTTAATTAAACCTTTTTACCCCTCCTACATAACTAATTTGGCTAAAAGTGAAAACGACGACATACATGGCCTATCAAACACAAGGAATATGCAAAATGAAAACACAAGAGAAATAATTACTGAGCTGGAAATGATAAGAGTACGTAGAGTTGAAACCTTTTGACTAGCCCTTGATTCAAGCCATTCCGCGATGGTGAAAAGAAAAACTATAGTACCAGCTTCTGTATAATCTCTCATCACAAGGGTGCCTACCACTGCCAAAAATCATGTTTAACATTATTTTAGAAAGGAAGAGAAATTACTAGTTAATCACTAACGCCATATCAGAAATATTGCACATTATTACTTTGGGAGAGCTGATAAAATACTTCTCAGCCAGTTGAATAAGTCTGCATCCACTGATCACCAGCATTCTCAGTTTAATTTGAAAATTGATAAAAACTTAAGAGGCCAAAAACTTAAGAGGACAATAACAGAATAAAACAAAAGCAAACCACTCCACAATTTAAAGTGCCCCGGGAACTAAAAAGAAGTACTAGGGTGATAGTGAACTGCATGTGGTACTGTTGGTCTGCTACTACAGCTCGATGTACCATCCTATACTCTTACCGGTCAGCAAGTGATCAGATCAGCTCATACAAGTTGTGCAGTATGTACAACATAAATTTCTATGTCAACCAAACGACTACTTATTTGTTTGTATGAACTAGTAATAAATGTAAATATTCTCTATACAACGGAGGAGGAACGTTCATGCTTTCTCAAACTCTAGCCACATCATGTAACAATGTCACAGATAACAAAAGTTAGAATATATCATATCAGCATTATGCAGTACCTGCTATGAGCATAAGAATGTTGACATCGAGGGTAAAATTTCTGATTGCAATTACACCCCTCATGAGAATAGGCCAAATACCAACAGCAACCGCTGCAACTGCTAGCCATTGGAAAGGGTGGTATACGTACTTCAAAAATGACAGCGAGAGCAACAGTCCTGAAGCAATAACATAAGGGCTAGGCCATTTTCCCCTGTAGCTCGCTTTCCCAATTACTCTCACGTTTGCTTCTAGCCGAGCTTGATTCAAAGCCTTCACTGTCGTAAGAAATGTACACAAGTATTATGTTAGAGAGCCACTAGGTACTTTAAATTACTTTCTAAGAAATGAGAATGTTCCAAGAGATAGCGTTGTACTTGGGAAGCAAACTACTTCCTACATTTTTCAAGCATGCGAGTGCATAACATCAATCAATTATTATATATCAATAAATAAAATTTAAAAAAAAAAATGTTATCTTGACAATATATGTTGAGACGAATTTAACGAGATCTCCACTAAAAAAATGTTTTTCCTTACCACAGGAATAGCAAATAAAGTACTACGTAGTCCGTATTACGTATGCTTAGTGTAAAAATGAAAAGGGTACAACTAAAAATATTCATTACATGTTCTTGCTATGACTTCCCTTATGGCCTTATCATGTTCTTAAATTACTACTCGACACACCTTAGGTCTCGTGTATACTGTTTTGATGTTTAAGGAGCCACGATGGCCAATGATGTACATCAAACAAGATTTGATCCAAACTACGGAATAAATGAAACAGAGGTAGTAATAATAATTTGGGACCATGCAATAATATCAATACGAATTGAAGTATTATTCTACATGAAAATGTGAGACTTATTATTATAACACATAATTTGTCCTATTGAACTAGTTAGTGCGAAACTAGTCAGGCAGTCATTCGAAAACATGACAAATTAATTGCCCTCCTTTTTAGCTTAATGGAGTTTGTCACGCATCTTCCCACATTAACTTTTTTAAAACGGTGTATTATTGCTACTTTATCTTTATTAATTTCTTATATGGTGGTCCAAATAAATGTTACACCATTAAGAATTGAAAGGGTTACATTTTAGGGGCTCTTATCAAACCAAATTGTCAAAGTCTCAATCTTACGTTCTTACCTTGAATTGAAATGCGATGATTAGCATTAAATACGTGTATTATTTTATAGATTAAGAATTCAGCATTATACTCTCTCCATTCAGTTCTACGAAATATTCACTATCTTTGTACATTTACACTATTCACACGTTAATTTGTCACTCCGTATAATGAATATATAGAAAAATATACAAAACGAATTATGATATTTCTTTTAGGGCAATTTTCTATAGATTTTTAGCCTAATTTTCAGCAACAATTTATCCCCATTTTAAGCATGAATGCATGATGATAAACTAATATTTTAACGTTAACCCACTGATTAACAAGATCATGAGACTATAATAAGTAAAACCTCTTGAATTTTATAAAAATCAAGGTTAGCTAGAAGCAACCTCTAGTATTAAATCTCAACTACCAACAACATTATTAATTAAATGAATGTGAAAGAGGTGTTGTACACTACGTAGTACTACACTTGTACTACTCGTCGAATATCAATTACTACTAACTAATACTTTGTTAGATATGGGTTTGGACCGCACCCGCAAACCAAGTGAGAGAGTCCACTTCACAAGACCAAAGGAGATTCCATCCCAAAACCATATGGCAATATGAGAAGCAGCCCTTTAGGCTTATTAAGTGATTAACTCTCTCTTATTCAATCAATATGGAACACTTACATGTGTTATTTGGTAGAATATAATTCAAGGTCCCAAACCATGGGTCTGACTCTGATACCATGTTAAATATAGGTCTAAGCCGTACCCGCAAACTAAGAGATCAAGTCCATTTCACAAGACCAAAGGAAGTTCCATCCCAAAACCATATGGCAATAGGAGGAGTAGCCCCTTAGGCTTATAAAGTGATTAATTCTCTCTTCTTCAACCAATATGGGACACTTATATGTGTTATTTGACAGCATATACTTCAACATGATTGGTCTATTAGTAAAGATTGTACTCCGTATTTCACAACTTTGAGGTTACATATAGAAACTTACAAAGTAGATTTTGGAACTTTATATATTTTCATCATTTTATTTGTCTCCATCAACCATTTATGAAGAATTTTGTGGGTATTAAAATATCACATGTATTGATGTTATTTTGCTTCACGTAGTGCAAGAGAATAGGTCGCATTTCTCGTGTCATACATGCATGGGTTGGAAAACGTGACACCAAATTAAACCTACCCCCTCCCAGGAGGAAGAAAAAAAAAAAAAAAAAAACCCTAAATGATTATTTCACGTGCTCAAAACCATTAATATCATGCTTGATTTTATGTCGTTTTGGACAAAGAGTACGATTTCCATGTGTTTTATTTTCCATTTCAAATTAATTTTAACAAGGCACAATTTTCCTAAGAAAATAAAAGGTTTACCTATGAGAAATTCAAGGGAAAAAAAAGTCACAAGATCGGTGTCACGAAAATACAATAGTGACCCAATTTTACATTAAGATCGGTGTCACGAAAATACAATAGTGACCCAATTTAACATGGCAAACACCGTATTACTTAGTGACAAATGCAAATATGATGAATGGATAATGACTACAAAATGATCAAAAATAGAGCATTTAAACCTGAAAAATCTCTGCATCACATCAAGTTTGTTTTCAACATGTCCAAAAATAAAATAAAAAACGGTTTTCTTTTTCTTTATTGGCCTAACCCATTTTTGATGCTTTTCAAAAGGAAAAGACTAGAAAGATAAGGAAGGGTGGTCAAACAATTTTCTCCTTTTCCAAATGAAAAAAGCGGTGCACAAAAATGACACATTATTGTTGGCTGTTTTTTGCCATAAGTTAACATTGATTTTATTTCCTTTTCAATTTGATTCTCGAATAAATTTCTTAGAGAGTTTTTTTTTTTTTAATAAATCACAAAGATAATACAAATTAATATTTATTAATAATTATAAATAAGAGTGGAGAGATTTGAACATGTGGGCAAAAAATTTCTAAGAGAATTCAATTTGTTATTTTTGTTTTTTTTTTTCTTTGGGTATTTAGAGAACCACAAGGATAAGGTGAAAATTGATCTTGGGATCTCTTGAAACCGAAAGAAAAGCGCTAATCATTTAAGCTATTTCTCACTCTCGAATTTGTTAATTTTGTAGAGATAACTAATGCGTCGAGTCTTGTGTGACACCGTCTTGTTATATGAGGCTAGTGGCGGACATTGCTTAACACGTTACCATAAAGTTGATCGTATTTTACGATTCATATACTCGTACAAGATAAACATTAGCATGCGAAATCTTGTTCGATTTAGCAATCAAATCTCCTTTAGAAGATGTTAAAGCATATAAATTTAACTTTGTAACAATTTTTTAGAAAATAATTCAAAAAATCCTTATAGCTTTTTTAAATGGTCGAAATGATTATTATTGTGAGATTGTATCATACGTGTTCTTACACATTACAGTAACAATTTGTAAAAAGGAAAAATGCAAAAATAAAAAAAAAATAAAAAAATAGAACAGCTACTAAAAAGATCATCAAATACCATTACTCTTTCTTGTTACGTAACAAGTGTCCGTTTTCTCATTTCTCAATTATAAATATTTCAATCTACCCCAAAACTCTGAGTTAAATTTTATTCGTGTCGACCCATTGACATCCCTAATTCACAATTCGATGTTTACGAAAAGAAGAGAGAGATAAAGAGAGAGATAGAGAGCGAACATACCAATTTGATGTTGAGAGATAAGGAGGATATCATGCACAACAATGACAGTTCTAGAAGGAACAATCACTGAAACTTCAACTACTCCTTCAAGTGGTTTCAGTATTTTCTCTATTAATGGAACTTCTGATGAACAGCATAATCCCAACACATCAAAATAGCTTTTTTCTATATTACATCCTCTTTTTTCTTTGTTTACATCACTTTTTTCTCCTCCCTTTGAAGATTTATCCATTCTTTGCTGCTACAACAAGTTTATTTTGTATTATTTTTTAAGCCTGCACAACAACAACAAATAAAAAATAAAAAAAAAAAGTCATGTTAACCACATAAATTCATAGGATTTTCTTCTTTTTTTCCTTTTTTTGGGGGGCAAGAAATCACATGGAAAAAGTTTGGTTTTTTTTTCCCCTCTATTTTTTGTGAATTATTGCATAAACTTAAAAAATATCGTGACAAAATTGATACAGTAGTCCATACATGCCAGCTAGCTTAGTTGGTTAAGGTGCTGGAGGGTTATATCCAAAACCCGAGATCAAATCTCGAGAAGCGAAGTGGCATTTGAGTTTCAAAACCCCATGTGAAAAGGAAAACCCAAGAAGAAGAAAGGGAAGGAAATCAAAACAAAAAAGAACAAGGAGAAGGAGAAGAAGAAAAACTAACCAAATTAGGAATAACTCCTATGAATTAATATGAGGTGAAATTTGGACCAGCCTTGAGTAAGAAGAATGAGAATCATATAATATGAATGTATTTATAAAGAGGTGTGAATTAATGAGGAGAGAAGAAGATGGAAAAAACAGAGGAAAGCAGGGGAAGTTTATATATAAATAAAAAGGCATAAGAAATGTGAGATGGCACAAGATGAAACATTTTGCAAAAGCTATGCGTCATTTAAACAACAATTGGGTCCCTCCACATTAGCGGTTACTAGTTACTACTATAAGTGTACTACCAAAATATAACTTGACTCATACACATTGGGAAAATAGTTATGAAGTACTACAATTATTATACAAGTACTTAGTTAAAGTTGGTTCGTACTTTCTCCGTTCTTTTATTCATATATTCATATTTTTGTTCTATTGAATATGATTTAGATTAGTTTCAAATTATGTTTTATAGAATGTGAAATTTGTAGTATAATTTTTTCTAATTGATAAAGATAATGAGAAGGTAAGTAGATCGAGAACAATGATGTATCATGTGTGATAGAGTATAAAACATATTCCTAAGCTTAACTATTAAGTTAAAATTTGGTTAAAATAGTTCACTTAATATGGTATCACGCTCGCGTGATACAAAGGTCACGGGTCCAAATTTCATCCACCCTTCACTTTCAAGTGGAATATTTCACGCTGGGTATGAGGAGAGTCCATGTTGTATCCACATTTCAAATTCAACGGGCTCTCAAGTAAGGGAGCGTGATAGAGTATATAACATATTTTTAGACCTCAACCATCAGTTTAAGCATTTGGTTGAAATGTTCCTTTAACAATGTAGACCCAATCCAAAACGAGAGTAGGAAGTTTAATGAGGAAACATGCAAATTGCAAATTTGTGACAAGTAAAAAGTTTAATGGGGGACAAAGGGATTATTTCCTTAATTGTATGACATCTTCTCCAATTACTTACTAGTCAATAAATGCTATCTTTGCTTTTATAGTGTTTTTAATGCAATTATTTTACACAAAATTTAATATGTGGCTGGCCATACTGTATGGTCGAAGTTACTTGATTTGGGATTACTCAATCAGTCAGGTTTTATTTGGTCAGAGGTTATTTGATCGGCTAGGGATTACTCGGTCGGTTGAAGACTACTCGATCAGTGTTTTAGTGTGTGTCAGCCGGTCACACGGAAAAGCCACACAGAAAACGCACTGATTATTTTATCATCAAAATATTTAATTATGTTTTACTCTATATTAAAGATTATACGGAGTATAAAATATTGTATATTGAAACTTCACATCGAAATCAACCTAATAAGATTTTACATGAGCATATTAGTTCTTATGTATCAATGAGCAATATGATCAAAGTAACCAAAACTTTCAAATTAAACAAGAACATCTTTTATAGGCCGGGTGAAGTTATCATTCATTATTTTCAAGGGGAATTGATAAATTTCTTCAACTGCATGTCCATGCATTACCTAAAACATGACCTTAGGAGTATCCAGAGAAAAAATCGTTTAAAATAATTGACGTGGTTACACTTTGCATATATGTCAATGTACTAATATGACCTTAATTATATAATTAATTCATGAAACTTTATATTAACATCTACTCTAACACCATATTTCATAATAAAATTTGTTTTTAATATGTTATCAAAAATATATGATCAAGAATAATATTTGAATAGTGAAAAAAAAGTCAAACATGTCGATAATAATTCTAAAACGTAGGGAGTATTATTATTACCAAGTTCTACCCTTCTATATCTACTACGAAATACTTCTTATTTTATTACTACCTCCGTTACATATTAGTTGCAAGTTTGGAATATTTTATCTCTCACAAATAATCTCCAAAGTTACAACTAATTTTTATTATTATTATTATTATTATTATTAATACGTGTTATTTTTTAACCCGAACTAGGAGATGGATATTAATCGGATCGGGAATAAAATTAAGGATTATGGGAGGAAGAAAATGGAGTCCAGCTAAGAAATCAACTGAGTGGTGCTTACATTGTGTACTTGCACCTTATGGTTTGGTATAGTGGTTTTGATTCCATTTTTACATCATTTGTTTAAGATTTTGGTGTAAGGCCTGTTAGCTAATTAAGAAAGTTATTCATCTCCACTTTCTTCTATCTCATTTAAGTTGTCATCTTCATTCCTTATAAAGGAACTAGTACATTCTCCATTATTAAGTTGTTCCTTCATGTTGTACTAATTAACCTTAGTAATAAATAAAGGGTGCCTGATTGAGAGGTGTTTCATTACAAGTATACTTTATCTGTTTTATTTTTTTTTTGGTAGAAATCTGTTTATTTATTATCGCAACATTTACCTTGTTAAAAAGTTTTTCTTTTTCTTTTTATTTTTTATAATAAAAAGTTTAATAAGCTAAGTAATGCAATATACGAATATTTATTTATGAAAACAAACATCTCTTATATATTGAAAATTAGTGTGTGATCCGAACTTTACCCCGAGTGCTACTTTGAGTAATTTTCTATCTTTATTTTAGGATTTAGAAGATTTAATATTTTTTTTTTATTTAATGTGAGTAATTATAATACAATAATGACAACAATAAATTATTTTAGATTTTATTTGTTATACTATAAGCAAAAAAATAGAAATTACTTATCTCTTGATGCGTGAACCAAAACTGACAGTAGCCGTGTCGTGGAGAACCACTGACCTAAAATACGATTTTGCGCTACCTCCCGATGCAGTAGACAAGAAGCGGTCACCCTCCAGGATAAGTACGGCACCGGAGTTTATGTGCACTCACAACCCCGACTGGAATTTAGAATACTTGCCCAGAAAAATAAAGAACAGTGTTTAGTATTTTAGAGAAGAAATAGAGGTACGAATTGTTGTATATTTTGGCCGAAGAAAAGCCGAGTATAAATAGGAAGCAAAGGGAAAATCGCGAGCAGAAAAGAAGGAAACTGCTCGGCCAGAAAAGCGTACAGATTAAGTCGATTAATGTGGAGCAATAATCAAGGAGAGTAACGACCAGCTATAATCAAGGAATTAATCGTTGAACACATTCAAATTCCAACAGTCAAAATCGGAATAAATGTGAAGGAATATTCTGTCAACAAAGAAAGCAAATAAAATTTCTCCAAAAAGATAAGAGGGACCCACACCCGCGCATTCCCCAACTCTCGAGGCCCGAGCCCGACCCGACCCGGCTCGACGCGCGTGTGTGTGTGGTACAACACCCACCTCCAAGTCACTCAACTAAGCAGTGCTAAGAAACTAAAGCATACAAACAAGGCAAAACCTCTCCCCCCAACCAATGTGGAACCTTTTCCCTTTCATTTGTGAGTCTCTCTCTCTCTTGTTTTCTTCCAACACTCTTGTTTTATATCAAGAACTTCCAACAATCCCACACTGCTTCTTCGAAGATATGAAAAAGAAAGGAAGAAGAAAAAAAAAATTGATTCTGGGCAAAACAAAACAATTGCATTAGTGTCAATGTCTCACGACTTGAATTAACACATAGTGGACA